CAGGTGTGGATGAGAGTCGCTGAGATGCTAAAGGTTCTGGACATTGTTGGGCTGTGTTGCTGATATGTCTCTTCATGTCACGTTGAGGTCTGGGACAATGCCTGTGGGGTGCAGATCTTCATTACCAATCTTCATTCCAACCCTCTGTGGTCACGCCATAGACTGTAAAAAGATGCATTATGGGTAGTGACTGAAAAAGTGGCCGCTACTCCTTCACATCTAAAGGAGACAGTTGAGTTGTTTCGGGCGTCTGATGGGTCTCCTGGACGCCTCCCTTTGGAGGTTTTTTTCGGGCATGCCCGACCAGGAGAACCCCCTGGGGTAGACCCAGAGTTCACTGGAGGGATATCTTTCAGTCCTGGGAACGCCTCAGAATCCTCCAGGAAGAACTGGAAAATGTTACGGGGAGGAAGTCTGGGTTGACGTACTTCTCCTGTTGCACAGCGACCCGACCTCGATAGGTAAGAAAATGTACCCTTGGTGATTTTTTTTTAATATATGCGCTGATATAAAACAAAACTTTTTACAAAATATTTAATGGAGAAACCACCATTAGGATCATTTAGATATGGTGTCATCATGAAGGTTGTCCAGTAGAGGGCGCCCTGATCCACAGTGAACAATACTCTCTACTTATTTTTATATTTTCTCCCTCTATAACCTTATTAATCTGTGTTGCTCAATTGAATTTAAGTCTTACTGTTTTATATATTTAATCTCTAAAGTGTTATTGTACAATTTCACTAATTGATTATCAATGATTTATTAAAAAGGAATAAAATCAGATAAATATGAAATGACTCGAGCAGAGAGTAAAACATGGATCAGCTCAAGTGAAATAAAAAGAGTATTCAGAGTTCTTCCTCCAGGTGATATATTCAGTATGAAACAGAGCTTTACTTCAGAAACAGAACTGAGCCTTTGACCTTTGACCTCAGAGTTCTTATGTCCTTTAACTTACAAATATTTGAACTGTTAGCTCAGAGTGAAGTTAAAATAACAGAAACTCAAACAGTTCTGTTTTTGACCACCAGAGGTCAGCAGAGCACAGATATTCAATAGTTTGATGTTATTGTTCAAGAATCAGACACTTTGATTTAGTCAAATCTTTTTATTCATCCTTTTTACAATAGTAACAAGAAATAAAGAGTCAACATTTAAACTTGAAGTCCCTGCAGTTATTAATCTAAATATATTTAATTCTCACTTCTTTTTGGTATTTCTAGCTGACCTGCAGACATTTCTATTCGCCGCTTTGAGGATTTTTTTTGGTCATTTTAAATCAGTATCAGGATTCAAACCTGCGACCACTTCAACAAAGACTGAAGCCTCTCTTCATGAGACTGATATATTATTTTAAAACATTAACTTGATTTATTTTCTGAAAACAGAATCAAAAACATAAAGAGTCTACCGGACATGTAACCTCACACAGCGCTCTGACATCTCGTGTCATACATTTAGTTCAATCAGAAATAAAGAGTTTAACAGAAAGACATCACATGAATTATTTAACATATAGTGCAACAAAGGCTTTTTTTACAAACCAAAAGTAAATAAAAAAATATAAAAATCATCAAAAAACATCTGATCTCATCTCAGCTCACACTCATCTATACACATTCACACCCTGATGATGCAGCAGAGGAGTTATTTGGGGTTAAATGTTTTGTCCAAAGAAACATCAACATGTTGCTGCAGGAGCTGGGGATTGAACCCCAACCTTTCACTTGGGAGACGACCGACCACCACTGATCCACAGCCGACCCAAGAAATAAAAGGGACAATCTTTAATTTCTAAAAGATTTAAACTTGATGGTGAGAGAGCCGATGGAGCGCTGATGAAAGTGTTTGTGTTCAATCATCGTCTCAAAAACAAAATTGGAACAGATAAAAAAACAGATATAAAAATAAACACATATATACATATAAACACATATATAAATATAAACAGATATCAACAGTGTGTCAGGATCCAGCAGCTGGACCAGAACAGGATCCTGGAGATGATTCTGCACCGTCTGAGGAGAAAAGAGATTTAGTTTAAATCAAACATTTAGTAAATCTGTAAAAACAGGACAGAGTTGATCTCAGTCAGTCAGAGAAAATTTGATCAAAGCTCTGCTGGCTCACCTTCGAACCTTAGGAGTCATCTTACATCAGACTCTTCAGGGTTTGAGCTTTAAGGTTCACATCTTCCTGTACGGAAAACATTAATCAGAGAGACTTTATTAAATCATTGAACATAAAACAGATTGAGAGTAAAGAGAGTTTAAAACATACCTGGTGAGAGAGTGTTTCTTTTATGGTTCCTGGAATAAAACATTAGAAATAAAAATCAAATAAATGAAGAAACAGACCATAATATCTATAAAATAAACATGATCATGTTTCATTGTCACAGTGGAAACCTTACCTGAGATTTGATGTCTAAACTTCCTCCATTTGAAATAACACATTCCAAGTCCAGAGACTAAAAACAACACAACAACAACAACAACAACAACACAGACTATCAGTCCAGTCCAGTCTGATGGTATATCTCCACACTGAGCGTCCTCTGTCTCAGTTCCTGCTCTCAGCAGCTCTCGACCCTCTGATTCACATCTGTAATGATAGAGGGACAGTTATTACAGGAACATCTGGAGAGTCCATGTGTGATGTGAAGCTTCACTCACTGTTTGTGTTTCTGACAAGATGGAAACGTCCCGTCTGAAAATGTTCCATCAGAGCAGGTGGAGCACACGGTGTCTGTGGAGGAAGTTCCTGCAGGAAATACAGAACACATGAGACTATTTCACAGAGGTTGTTTTAGACATGAACACAGTCCCTCTATCACCATAGATACAAAATGATGTCATGTAATTATCTTATCAGTTGGTCAAACACATTTCAGCTAACCAAAGGCCCAACTAGAGACACGAGTTGGAAATTAGCAATAGCTATAACCTCTCTATGAAGCACATCAGTTTCCTGCTCTGTATTCAAACTATGTTAAATTTCATCGTCCCTATTAAATAAATACATTCAAATTCAAATTTAAAAAGCCTCGTGTTCAGAATGTCATTGGCTACAAGAAACGTCAGTCGTCAGCATAGTGGCGTGCAATTGGTCGGGTATAGATTCATCAGAATACAGAATCCTTTCATCTCATTGGCTGTAATAGACTGGGAACTGAATGGAAGGTCCTAATTTGCCAAATGGGGTGCCAATCGAAAGGTTAGAGTTTTGAGTATCCTAATTTTAAAAAATCATTCACAAAAATGAATCATCACAGAAAATACAGCAGGAAATCTGGAACAGCGGTGGACAATTTGAATCAATCTGTAGATCTTTATTTATGTGATGTGTTTGGATTCAATCTTTCTCTAGATTTGGATGGTTGGGACTCGTTCTGATGCAGCAGGACCGTTTTTGTTGGAATATTACGATCCAGAGAGTTCAGAAAATCTTCAGATGGTGACTCATAAGACAGAAGAAATGATTTCTTTGTCAGTGGTCTGTAAATAATCCTGATTATGACAGAACAGACTTCCAATAAAAGTGAAATGTGTTTAACTAACCGTGTTCTCTGATGTATTCTCCTGGTTCACAGCGTCTGTGTTTCTTTGCTTCCACACAGTCGTCCTTTCTAGAGTCTGAGCAGTAAAATCCTTCCAGAGGTTCACAAACTGTGTCTGATACTATCGTACACGACGTCTTCATCTTCAGACCAGAACCTGTCGACACAAACACAGAGGTTATTTATGAACTACTGTACTTCTGCTCTACTAAAGAACAGTTTGGTGTAAGGAAATAACAAGTACTCAGATGATCATCTCTGTGTTTGAGGCTCAAACTCAAACTAACTGAAGGTTAGAAAGCTGGTTTTACAGTGATGACTGTTTAGTAACATGTTCTGATCTTTATTTAGTTTGATAATAATGTCAGAGATCTACCTTCATCACAGCTTTTACAGTCGTAGCACTGTCTACGGGAAGTCGGATGGTTCATAAAGGTTCCTTCAGGGCAGTGCTTACAGAAAGTACTTTCAGAGTCTGTGCAGTCTGCATAAATCCAACCTCCTGTTTGAAACAACAAGAAGACATTTTTTATTCTTTTTTCTTTTAAAGAGACAGAGTTGTCTTTTTTTCCACATGGACGCTTCAACAACATGAAACTTCTCCTTCAGTAACTTATGTCAGCGTGGAGAGAGAGAGAGAGAGAGAGTGAGAGGAGAGAGAGAGAGAGAGGGAGGGAGAGAGAGAGTGAGAGAGAGAGAGTGAGAGGGGGAGAGAGAGGAGAGAGAGAGAGAGTGAGTGAGAGGGAGAGAGAGTGAGTGAGAGGGAGAGAGAGAGAGTGAGAGGGAGAGGGAGAGAGTAAGAGAGTGAGAGAGTGAGAGAGAGAGTGAGAGGGAGAGAGAGAGAGTGAGTGAGAGGGAGAGAGTAAGAGAGTGAGAGAGAGTGAGAGAGAGAGTGAGAGGGAGAGAGAGAGAGTGAGTGAGAGGAGAGAGTAAGAGAGAGAGAGGGAGAGAGAGAGAGAGAGAGAGAGAGAGTGAGTGAGAGAGAGTAAGAGAGTGAGAGAGAGTGAGAGAGAGAGTGAGAGGGAGAGAGTGAGAGAGACAAGGCAGTACTCTGCTTGTTGCCCCAGACGACCAGCAGGGGGCCCTGGAGGTCTGAAAAACTTTAAAACACAGCAGAGGCTCAAAATGTGAAAATTTTGCAATGACAGTAGGAAACCTCCCTTAGGGGCGACCACCCGACAGAACTCAATCTTGTTGCGCTTTCAAGTGTAAATGCATTGTTCCTGTGAAATCTTAAACTTGCCAATAAAGTCACCAAAGGAAAATGAAGAAGAATAATCTGTCTGGGTGAGAAAAGGAGGAACAAGAAGACGGTAATATATAATGAATATGTTTAAAGGTAACTGTAAAGGTAAATCATCTTTAAATGTATATGTTGAAAATAATACAAATATTAAACAGCTTTTGCATGTTTTTAGTTAGTGTCAGTTTATTTATTTAAAATAGGGACATTGAAACTAACCTGATAAACCTTAATTAAAGATTCTGTAACATTCATGTGGATCTTACCAGGTTGACACATAGGACAGCATCTATCATGTGTCTCATACTGATATCGACCACATGACTGAGTTTGACCTGTGGAGACGTTCATCAGGAGAATCTGTGAAGAGAAAGAGAAATGTTCTCACTGAAGACAAAGTGTACATGAATACAGAGAGAAATCTAAAATCATCATCCAGTCCATGAAGAGAGAAGAGGGAAAGAGTTCAAATCTTCACATCTGAAGTTTGTCTGTTTGTGTGAAGAAGAATCATTCAGAACAAATATTTACACAGATAGAAATGTTGAAGAGGAGAAATATAAAACCTCAATCAGTGCTCAGATAATTCAATAAGATCATTTACCAGAAACACTGCAGCTGATCCAGGTCTCATTCTCTCTGTAACAGAAGACCAGCACAGATTCCTCGTCTGTTTGAACCAACGCAGATTTAGGACCAAGAGAAATGTAACTCCAAACCAGGACAGGTAACACACTCCCAGAGAAAAGTGTTTTCAGCTTCCTGCAGTCAGAGAGAGATCACCATCATCATCATCATCTTTATCATCATCATCATCATCATCATGATCATCATCAGGACAGATGCAGATTGTTACCAGGTGTAAAATGTCTCAGACATCAATGGAAATGAAATAAAGTTCTTTATGAACTGGATCTTACCAGGTGAACACATAGAACAGCATCTATCATTTATCTGATATTGATATGGACCACATGAGAGAGTTTGACCTGTGGAGACGTTCATCAGGAGAATCTGTGAAGAGAAAGAGAAATGTTCTCACTGAAGACAAAGTGTACATGAATACTACCTGATGATGATAAATCTGTTTAATATTTCACAGAGTAAAAACAGTGTGAAGTCCAAACCATGAATACGATATTATCAGGAGGCTGGAGTCAAGATACGATATAATATAATTATAATAACCCAGATAGAGACAATACACTTGGAGTAATAATAGCAGACGAACTCAGTGTTCTAGGATAGACTTTTGGCTAATAACGAGCAATCTAGTCGATATGTCCTCAGACTGTGATATCTGTCCTTCTCTTACTGATCACTGTGTAATGACTCTATGTAGTTAATACAATAACAACATACTAAAATCAGGGCCGTTAATCTGGAAGTGTAACAATAGTGTATTAAAAAGCAACTGATTTTGCAAAAGGACCCTCTCCTTAATCAAAAAGGTCGAACTACAAAGTTATTTATCCCCATTGAATAAATGGGAATGGTTTAAATACGATGTTAGAAAAATTGGCATTCACTGAATACAGAGGGATACCTATTTACCTTTGAAGAATTTACAACAAATGATCTAAAGTAACATGTCATATTCTCTGTGTGTACCTTTCTTGTTTAAAAGTTGGTGAAGTTGATCTGTTTGATAGACGCTGAAACAGTCTTTAAACAGAAAAACAAGAGACTTCAATACTAGCTCTGGTAACTTTGACGACACCTTGAGAAAATTGTGTTTTTCTTTTTATCTGTCATGTCCAGTTACTCCTACGCTCAAAGAAACACATTTTAAAGTTGCATGTGCAATCGACCCAGTTTGTGATTTTTTACACAAAAGACTCCATTTTGAAGTAGATGCCTGTGCTTTTTGCTCCTCAGAGGTAGGAACCTTGGAACATTTATTTGTTGACTGCTCATACAGTAAAACATGTTGGGCTGATATCCACAGCTGGTTGTCTTTAAAGATTGATAACATTCCTACATTTTCTAATAAAGATATCCTCTATTATATTCAGACATTGTTAACCTTGTTATAATTTTGGGTAAATTTATACTTGTAAATGAAAAAACATCAACCCCTCTTTTTATGTCTTTGTGTTATTTAGTCAATTACTTTAAATCATTAAAATATATGGAAAATAGAACAGAAAGGCCAAAAAACTTGATTTGGATATATCTAAAGTCTTGCTCTTTTAATGTCTCTTGCCTTGCCTGAGCTATTTCTATGTTCACCTGATTTTTGTTTTCTTTATTTGATGTATGGAATTTATTTTCTGTTAATGAGTTAATGTAGATTTGGTAGTGAAAGTTGAAAGTTGGAGTGGTGAAACAATTCTTTGTAATATTTTCTGAACTGAATACACAAACTTTATTCAAATTTAAAAATGGGTCCCTGGAAGACTGTTGGAGCTAAAAAAGTTACCAGAGAGTGTTTCACTGTTTCGGGCCCTCCACCACAACTTCTCGCACAGCATTTTATCTTCCAACAGTTTTACAGGGACCAAATTTCCTCTGAGGACAGTTTGTTATGTATAGAGTTATGAACATATACCACTGAATGTGTACATTTCTCCAACTTTCACATTTCTCTATCAAAAATCCACAATGCATTTTGAAACATTCCAGCACTGAAAGTTTCAATCAACATTGTCCAAACTTTATATTTGAATGTGTCATTTACCAATCTATCATCAAACTATAATGAAGTGCACAGAGACCAGAGAAATGTTTGTTGAGGAGCCATTTCCTGGAAGATTACAAGACTCGTCAACAACAGTCAGGAAGTCACGAAGACTTCATGTTTAGAAATAACTTCAATATTTAATCCCTATGAGTCTTCTTGTTGTAGTCCTTATGTCTGCCCTGAAGTTTGAGGTTATTTTCATGTATTTCCATAAAGTCTAAAGTGTCAGACAGTCTGAGTGTCTCAGGATCCTCTGTGTTCATTTAGTGATCATTAGAGGATTTATAACATTTCACACCAGAAGAGTTTTAACTTTAAAACAACAAAGCTTCACTTTTACACTGTTCTCCAATGTTGTTTAGTCTTTAACTTAATAAAATATGGTAAGAAAAACACGGACACACATACCTTAATGCTCCAAATGGCGTCGCTGAAAATTTAACTTTCGTTTTTCAGCCCTTCAAAATAAAGCATTAAAAGTAGAACCATCCAATAGTATCTGTCTGCAGTCTGAGAAATCATGGAGAAAACATGCTGAACTCCTTTTCAACGTCAAACTACATTTTTATTTTAATTGACACAAGGACGTTTCGAGCAGATGCTCTTCTTCAGCGTGTAAAAGGCAATGTTCTCAAATATACACAGGTTTGGACTAATTTATACTTGTCTACATTATAACATGTTTATTTATGAAACACATGACTCAGAAAGTTCCTCCAGCCACATCAAAGCTGTCGTATCCTCCAAAGTGTAAAGAAAGAGTCCTGCAGCCAGTCTCTGCAGACGGTTGGATGGAGCTGAGAGTAAATAAAAAAAAAAGATATTTATTTTGATACACAAAATTTCATTAAAAATACAAACATTATGAAATCTTAGAGTGTAATAAACCCAAATAATTTCAGTAAGATGACATAATTCTCTATATGAAAAGTAGAACTATATAGTTTTCACTTCCTCCAGAACAAAATAGAAAGATCTCATTCTGTTATAATAGAAAGCATAGACGACATGTGAGCCCACATGGAGTCCTGGGTGGTGTGGGTTTACTCCGAGCACTTCGGTTTCCTCCCACAGAAACAAATCATTTGAAAAATAATCACAATAAAAAATTACAATTCATTTGAAAAAAGAATCATCTCTGTTTTAATACATTTCTTCAGATTATTTCTAATATGTATTTGTGTCTCACATTTTATTTCTGTTCTGACTCTGTCCATGGTTCTGATGTCTGCTCTATCACTTGCATTGTTTCTGTTTTTTATCATCACTTTATAAAGTAAACGCTGGGAAATGATATTTGTGGTCCAAACAACAAATGAATTAAAGATAATAATAAAACAGGAAGATTAATGAATATCATTGAAGGGGACAAACAAACAAAAAGGCAAACAGACATGAAGACAACACCTCACACTTTGTCCATCATGACTTGTTGCTCAGTGTACATCAAAACAAACAATTCAGGTGGAAGCCTTTTCAAAAGTTAGTATTGCACTATGGTAATAAGTAGACGGAAATTTGGTATTTAATCTGAACTGAACTGTATTTTAGTCCTGTGGTGGACTTTTCTAGTCCCAGTAACCCTTTAACCCCAGGTCCACCATGCCCAGGATCCACTGCAGTTTGCTTACCAGGCGAAGGTAGGCGTGGACGATGCCATCCTCTATCTACTACACAGGGCTTACTCTCATCTGGACAAAGGGAGCGACGTGATGAGAATCATGTTCTTTGATTTCTCTAGCGCCTTTAATACCATCCACCCCCTCCTACTGAGAGACAAGCTGGCCGAGATGAGGGTGGACTCGCACCTGGTGAGACGGATCACGGACTACCTCACAGAGAGACCACAGTACGTCAGACTGAAGGACTGCACATCTGACTCTGTGGTCAGCAGCATCGGAGCACCACAGGGGACCGTGCTCTCTCCTGTCTTGTTCACCCTGTATACCTCTGACTTCCAGTATAACTCTGAGCTCTGCCACATGCAGAAATACTCGGATGACACTGTGATAGTTGGTTGTGTCAGGGATGGACAGGAGGAGGAGTACAGGAGCCTGATAGGGGACGTGGTGCAGTTCAAACCATCTGCAGCTGAACACCTCCAAGACCAAGGAGATGGTGGTGGACTTCCGAAGGAACAAGCCACATCCCCAACCTGTTTCCATCGGGGGGTCGACGTGGAGGTGGTCAAGACCCATGGGTACCTGGGGCTGCAGTTGAACGACAGGCTGGACTGGTCATCAAACATGGACACTATCTGCAGGAAGGGACAGAGCCGTCTGTACTTCCTGAGAAGGCTGGGGTCCTTCAACATCTGTAAAAAGCTGCTGCAGATGTTTTACCAGTCCGTGGTGGCCAGTGTCCTCTTCTATGCTGTGGTGTGCTGGGGAGGAAGCAACAAGAAGAGGGATGCAGAACGGCTGGACAGACTGGTGAGGAAGGCTGGCTCTGTGGTGGGCACAGAGCTGGACTCTCTAGTGACAGTGGCAGAGAGAGAGAGTGAACAGAATGCTCTCCATCATGGACAACACCCACCACCCTCTGCACAGCACCTTCACCAGGCAGAGGAGTGTGTTCAGTGGCAGACTGCTGTCACAATCCTGTTCCACAGACAGACTTAAGAACTCTTTTGTCCCCCTGGCCATACGTCTGTACAACACCTCACGGTTATGGCAGGGGGAAAACACACACTTGGACTAAATCTTCCTTTTTCGATTTCCCATCTGCACAGCTGTCCCAAGAGAGTCAGCCTCTAGTTGGACACTTCAATGATCACCTCAATTACTTAAATAGCACCTTTAATTTAATGTTTGCACTGCCTGTTATTTAATTTAATGTCTGTTTTTGATAACTCTGCACTATCTGCCTTTTTAAACATTGCTGTACAAATATAAACAACACAACTTCAGAAGGTCAACACTTTTTTATATTTTTTATATTCAGGTCTAATTACAGATTTTTCCCTCAACTGTTTAAAGGTTCTTGCTTTAAATTTCACATATATTTTTATCCCTGCACGGGTTCTGTACATTTCTTGTATAAATCTATTTTTAATTGCACAGTTTAAGTTTGTTTTCATCTAGGGGTATTCTTTAAATCTTTTATCGGGTTAATATATATGTATGGGGGGGGTCGGTTTTGCAGCATTTTTTTGCGGCTTAATTTGTAACAAATGTTTCATGTAATGGCAATTTTCCAATGTTTTCCTTTGCTCCAATTCTTGCCAATAATACACAGGTAGGGGTGAAGTCTTACGCAGATGCAAACAATGATTTTCCAGCCGTTGTTAAAGTTGAGTTGAAGGTTTATTGAAGTGACTTGATGGAGATATGAGAACCAAAAAACATACCATTTCCAGTGAAGCGTAGCCAGTAGAATTAATGCATTGTAGTTTGTCTGAGTGCTGGTCTGAAACATGAATGCCGGTCTGGTGAGAACTGTCTGTGCTCCCCGTACCTGTGCCCTCCCTTTCCTGTCACCTGTGCTACTATATATACACGCCCTTGTGCATTCAGTGTCCCTATTGGAAAATAATATATTCAGATAAATCTAATTATAAAACATGCCAACGATAAACACAAAATGGCTCCTACATTTCATGTCATGTACGTCTTGTAACCTGCTACTGGATGCTTTGAATTTCCCTCGGGATCAATAAAGTATCTATTTATCTATCTATCTATCTAACCTTAATCACATTTTTTCATTTAGATATGTTGTCATCATGAAGGTTGTCCAGTAGAGGGCGCTCCTGATCCACAGTGAACAATACTCTACTTATTTTTTTATATTTTCTCCCTCTATAACCCTTATTAATCTGTGTTGTTCAATTGAATTTAAGTCTTACTGTTTTATATATTTAATCTCTAAAGTGTTATTGTACAATTTCACTAATTGATTATCAATGATTAATTAAAAAGGAATAAAATAAGATAAATATGAAATGACTCGAGCAGAGAGTAAAACATGGATCAGCTCAAGTGAAATAAAAAAAGTATTCAGAGTTCTTCCTCCAGGTGATATATTCAGTATGAAACACAGAGCTTTACTTCAGAAACAGAACTGAACTTTTGACCTCAGAGTTCTTACTGTCTTTAAACTTACAAATATTTGAACTGTTAGCTCAGAGTGAAGTTAAAATAACAGAAACTCAAACAGTTCTGTTTTTGACCACCAGAGGTCAGCAGAGCACAGATATTCAATAGTTTGATGTTATTGTTCAAGAATCAAACACTTTGATTTAGTCAAATCTTTTTATTCGTCCCTTTTTACAATAGTAACAAGAACATAAAGAGTCAACATTTAAACTTGAAGTCCCTGCAGTTATTAATTTAAATATATTTAATTCTCACTTCTTTGGTATTTCTAGCTGACCTGCAGACATTTCTATTCGCTGCTTTGAGGATTTTTCTTTTGGTCATTTTAAATCAGTATCAGGATTCAAACCTGCGACCACTTCAACAAAGACTGAAGCCTCTCTTCATGAGACTGATATATTATTTTAAAACATTAACTTGATTTATTTTCTGAAAACCAGAATCAAAAACATGAAGAGTCTACGGGACATGTAACCTCACACAGCGCTCTGACATCTCGTGTCATACATTTAGTTCAATCAGAAATAAAGAGTTTAACAGAAAGACATCACATGAATTATTTTAACATAAAGTGCAACAAAGGCTTTTTTACAAACCCAAAAGTAAATAAAAAAATAATAAAAATCATCAAAAACATCTGATCTCATCTCAGCTCACACTCATCTATACACATTCACACCCTGATGACACAGCAGAGGGAGTTATTTGGGGTTAAATGTAAGAAACATCAACATGTTGCTGCAGGAGCTGGGGATTTAACCCCCGACCTTTCACTTGGGAGACGACCGACCACCACTGAACCACAGCCGGCCCAAGAAATAAAAGGGACAATCTTTAATTTCTAAAAGATTTAAACTTGATGGTGAGAGAGCCAATGGAGCGCTGATGAAAGTGTTTGTGTTCAATCATCGTCTCAAAAACAAAACTGGACCAGATATAAAAACAGATATAAATATAAACAGATATATACATATAAACACATATATACATATAAACACATATATATATATATATAAACAGATATACACATATAAACAGATATCAAGAATGTGTCAGGATCCAGCAGGTGGACCAGAACAGGATCCTGGAGATGATTCACTCTGCAGGAGTTCAGTCTGAACCGTCTCACCCTGAGGAGAAAAGAGATTTAGTTTAAATCAAACATTTAGTAAATCTGTAAAAACAGGACAGAGTTGATCTCAGTCAGTCAGAGAACATTTGATCAAAGCTCTGCTGGCTCACCTTCGACTCTTAGGAGTCATCTGACTTCAGACTCTTCAGGGTTTGTTATCTAAGGTTCACATCTTCCTATTCAGGAAACATTAAAGGTCCCATATTATGCTTTTTCTGGTTTTAAATGCCCTTTAATGTGTTTTCCAAGTGTCCTGTGCATGTTTAGGCACATCTATGTGCAAAAATTCAAAGTCCACGGAAACGCAGCTTCTCCTATGTCCTCCTGTTAGCTGCAGCACTAGCTGCATATAACGCTCGGTTCTAACCCCCCTCGAAAAAAATTTGCCAGCGTGATGTCATTGTCAGTGTGAGATCACTGATCTAAGCCCCATTGGCTCGTTGTGGCAAGCCCAGCAGCTCATGTTGTATGCCCGTTAACTTCTGTAGCACGCCCACGATATGCCGCAGCCTGCGGTAGCACAGTAGTGCTGAGGTGCTAATGTTTTTGATCCCCTAGGAGCCAAAGTGGCTGCTATGGTAAAGGGGCGGGACATTTCCGAGAACCGTGCTGAGCGACTGACCAATTACGGCAGAGCCAACAGGCCGACCAATCAGATCAGACTTGGCACACGTGGGGACTCTGAACGTGGGCACTTCAGAGCCTTAGAGAGAGAGTCAGAAGCGAGCCGGTGCATGGAGCGGCAGTACATGAAAACAGACACTTACACTTAGAACTTTAGCTATTGTGAACATACTTTAGTAGGTACATAGATGAAATACATGAACCCCAAAAAGGGCATAATATGGGCTCTTTAAAGTAAGAGAGACTTAAAGAGAGTTTAAAACATACCGGGTAGTACGAGTCCTGATTGTCTTCTGTTTCCTGGAAGAAAACATTAGAAACAAAAATCAAATGAATGAAGAAACAGACCATAATATCTATAAAATAAACATGATCATGTTTCATTGTCACAGTGGAAACCTTACCTGAGTTTTGACGTCTAATCATCCTCCATCCCAGATAACACCCTCCAAATACAAAGACTAAAGACAGCACAACAACAACACCGACTGTCAATCCAGCCCATTGTGGCAGTAGTCCTCCACACTGAGCGTCCTCTGTCTCAGTTCCTGCTCTCAGCAGCAGCAGACCCTCTGATTCACATCTGTAATGATAGAGGGACAGTTATTACAGGAACATCTGGAGAGTCCATGTGTGATGTGAAGCTTCACTCACTGTTTGTGTTTCTGACAAGATGGAAACGTCCCATCTGAAAATGTTCCATCAGAGCAGGTGGAGCACACGGTGTCTGTGGAGGAAGTTCCTGCAGGAAATACAGAACACATGAGACTATTTCACAGAGGTTGTTTTAGACATGAACACAGTCCCTCTATCACCGTCCACCATACGTGTTAATGAAGTGTTCTTCAGATGTCAGCAAACAGGAGGAGGTTGTGTTTATCAGCTGTTTTCCAGAGAACAGAGCTGCAGTAAGAACCAGGTTAGCATATCTTAACATAAAGACTGGAGTCAAAAGCTCCCTAACTAAGCTCCGCCCTCATCACGTCTTTGTATGTTCTTATTGATTCCATGACGGGGTAAGAATGGTGTCCCAGTCTGTGAGTTCACATTGAACTCAAACTGTCTGTGTGTGATGAAGTGAAATGTGTTTAACTAACCGTGTTCTCTGATGTATTCTCCTGGTTCACAGCGTCTGTGTTTCTTTGCTTCCACACAGTCGTCCTTTCTAGAGTCTGAGCAGTAAAATCCTTCCAGAGGTTCACAAACTGTGTCTGATACTATCGTACACGACGTCTTCATCTTCAGAGCAGAACCTGTCGACACAAACACAGAGGTTATTTATGAACTACTGTACTTCTGCTCTACTAAAGAACAGTTTGGTGTAAGGAAATAACAAGTAGTCAGATGATCATCTCTGTGTTTGAGGCTCAAACTCAAACTAACTGAAGGTTAGAAAGCTGGTTTTACAGTGATGACTGTTTAGTAACATGTTCTGATCTTTATTTAGTTTGATAATAATGTCAGAGATCTACCTTCATCACAGCTTTTACAGTCGTAGCACCGTGTACGGAAAGTCGGCTGGTCCATAAAGGTTCCTTCAGTGCAGTGCTTACAGAAAGTACTTCCAGAGTCTGTGCAGTCTTCATGAACACAACTTCCTGTTTGAAACAACAAAAAGACATTTTTTATTCTTTTTTCTTTTAAAGAGACAGAGTTGTCTTTTTTTCCACATGGACGCTTCAACAACATGAAACTTCTCCTTTAGTAACTTATGTCAGAGTGGAGAGAGAGAGAGAGAGAGAGAGAGAGAGAGAGTGAGAGGGAGAGAGAGAGTGAGCGAGAGAGAGAGAGGGAGAGAGAGAGACAAGGCAGTACTCTGCTTGTTGCCCCAGACGACCAGCAGGGGGCCCTGGAGGTCTGAAAAACTTTAAAACACAGCAGAGGCTCAACCTCCCTCAGGGGGCCCCACCCGACAGCGCTTTCAAGTGTAAATGCATTGTTCCAGTGAAATCTTAAACTTGCCAATAAAGTCACCAAAGGAAAATGAAGAAGAATAATCTGTCTGGGTGAGAAAAGGAGGAACAAGAAGACAGTAAGTGGAACAGAGGACGATAATATATAATGAATATGTTTAAAGGTAACTGTAAAGGTAAATCATCTTTAAATGTATATGTTGAAAATAATACAAATATTAAACAGCTTTTGCATGTTTTTAGTTAGTGTCAGTTTATTTATTTAAAATAGGGACATTGAAACTAACCTGATAAACTTTAATTAAAGATTCTTTAACATTCATGAGGATCTTACCAGCTGGACACATAGGACAGCATCCACCAGGTGTCTTATAACTGTATCGACCACATGTCAGAGTTTGACCTGTGGAGACGTTCATCAGGAGAATCTGTGAAGAGAAAGAGAAATGTTCTCACTGAAGACAAAGTGTACATGAATACAGAGAGAAATCTAAAATCATCATCCAGTCCATGAAGAGAGAAGAGGGAAAGAGTTCAAATCTTCACATCTGAAGTTTGTCTGTTTGTGTGAAGAAGAATCATTCAGAACAAATATTTACACAGATAGAAATGTTGAAGAGGAGAAATATAAAACCTCAATCAGTGCTCAGATAATTCAATAAGATCATTTACCAGAAACACTGCAGCTGATCCAGGTCTCATTCTCTCTGTAACAGAAGACCAGCACAGATTCCTCGTCTGTTTGAACCAACGCAGATTTAGGACCAAGAGAAATGTAACTCCAAACCAGGACAGGTAACACACTCCCAGAGAAAAGTGTTTTCAGCTTCCTGCAGTCAGAGAGATCACCATCATCATCATCTTCATCATCATCATCAGGACAGATGCAGATTGTTACCAGGTGTAAAATGTCTCAAACATGAATGGAAATTAAATAAAGTTAATTATGAACTGGATATTACCAGGTGGACACATAGGACAGCATCCACCAGGTGTCTCATACTCGTATGGACCACATGTCAGAGTTTGACCTGTAGAGACGTTCATCAGGAGAATCTGTGAAGAGAAAGAGAAATGTTCTCACTGAAGACAAAGTGTACATGAATACTACCTGATGATGATAAATCTGTTTAATATTTCACAGAGTAAAAACAGTGTGAAGTCCAAACCATGAATACGATATTATCAGGATGCTGGAGTCAAGATACGATATAATATAATTATAATAACCCAGATAGAGACAATACACTTGGAGTAATAATAGCAGACGAACTCAGTGTTCTAGGATAGACTTTTGGCTAATAACGAGCAATCTAGTCGATATGTCCTCAGACTGTGATATCTGTCCTTCTCTTACTGATCACTGTGTAATGACTCTATGTAGTGAATACAATAACAACATACTAAAATCAGGGCCTTTAATCTGGAAGTGTAACAATAGTGTATTAAAAAGCAACTCATTTTGCAAAAGGACCCTCTCCTTAATCAAAAAGGTCGAACTACAAAGTTATTTATCCCCATTGAATAAATGGGAATGGTTTAAATATGATGTTAGAAAAATTGGCATTCACTGAATACAGAGGGATACCTATTTACCTTTGAAGAATTTACAACAAATGATCTAAAGTAACATGTCATATTCTCTGTGTGTACCTTTCTTGTTTAAAAGTTGGTGAAGTTGATCTGTTTGATAGACGCTGAAACAGTCTTTAAACAGAAAAACAAGAGACTTCAATACTAGCTCTGGTAACTTTGACGACACCTTGAGAAAATTGTGTTTTTCTTTTTATCTGTCATGTCCAGTTACTCCTACGCTCAAAGAAACACATTTTAAAGTTGCATGTGCAATCGACCCAGTTTGTGATTTTTTACACAAAAGACTCCATTTTGAAGTAGATGCCTGTGCTTTTTGCTCCTCAGAGGTAGGAACCTTGGAACATTTATTTGTTGACTGCTCATACAGTAAAACATGTTGGGCTGATATCCACAGCTGGTTGTCTTTAAAGATTGATAACATTCCTACATTTTCTAATAAAGATATCCTCTATTATATTCAGACATTGTTAACCTTGTTATAATTTTGGGTAAATTTATACTTGTAAATGAAAAAAACATCAACCCCTCTTTTTATGTCTTTGTGTTATTTAGTCAATTACTTTAAATCATTAAAATATATGGAAAATAGAATAGAAAGGCCAAAAGACTTGATTTGGATATATCTAAAGTCTTGCTCTTTTAATGTCTCTTGCCTTGCCTGAGCTATTTCTATGTTCACCTGATTTTTGTTTTCTTTATTTGATGTATGGAATTTATTTTCTGTTAATTAGTTAATGTAGATTTGGTAGTGAAAGTTGAAAGTTGGAGTGGTGAAACAATTCTTTGTTATATTTTCTGAACTGAATACACAAACTTTATTCAAATGTAAAAATGGGTCCCTGGAAGACTGTTGGAGCTAAAAAAGTTACCAGAGAGTGTTTCACTGTTTCGGGCCCTCCACCACAACTTCTCGCACAGCATTTTATCTTCCAACAGTTTTACAGGGACCAAATTTCCTCTGAGGACAGTTTGTTATGTATAGAGTTATGAACATATACCACTGAATGTGTACATTTCTCCAACTTTCACATTTCTCTATCAAAAATCCACAATGCATTTTGAAACATTCCAGCACTGAAAGTTTCAATCAACATTGTCCAAACTTTATATTTGAATGTGTCATTTACCAATCTATCATCAAACTATAATGAAGTGCACAGAGACCAGAGAAATGTTTGTTGAGGAGCCATTTCCTGGAAGATTACAAGACTCGTCAACAACAGTCATGAAGTCACGAAGACTTCATGTTTAGAAATAACTTCAACATTTTCTCCCTATGAGTCTTCTTGTTGTAGTCCTTATGTCTGCCCTGAAGTTTGAGGTTATTTTCATGTATTTCCATAAAGTCTAAAGTGTCAGACAGTCTGAGTGTCTCAGGATCCTCTGTGTTCATTTAGTGATCATTAGAGGATTTATAACATTTCACACCAGAAGAGTTTTAACTTTAAAACAACAAAGATTCACTTTTACACTGTTCTCCAATGTTGTTTAGTCTTTAACTTAATAAAACACGGACACACATACCTTAATGCTCCAAATGGCGTCGCTGAAAATTTAACTTTCGTTTTTCAGCCCTTCAAAATAAAGCATTAAAAGTAGAACCATCCAATAGTATCTGTCTGCAGTCTGAGAAATCATGGAGAAAACATGCTCAACTCCTTTTCAACGTCAAACTACATTTTTATTTTATTTGACACAAGGACGTTTCGAGCAGATGCTCTTCTTCAGCGTGTAAAAGGCAATGTTCTCAAATATACACAGATGGGACTAATTTATACTTGTCTACATTAGAACATATTTATTTTATTTATTTATGAAACACATGACTCAGAAAGTTCCTCCAGCCACATCAAATCTGTCGTATCCTCCAAAGTGTAAAGAAAGAGTCCTGCAGCCAGTCTCTGCAGAGCTGAGAGTAAATAAAAAAAAAAGATATTTATTTTGATACACAAAATTTCATTAAAAATACAAACATTATG